CAAGAATCTGTCGCACACCACCTACATATTAGAATCTACTCTCTGACTTTGAGATACTAATCATTTGTTGGAGGAAAGTAACTCATAAACTGCATTGCAATCCATTAAGATTGATAGGATAGCAGGGCAAAGTACATGCCATGGATGAGGGTCCTTCATAGGAAGGGATATAAGGTTGTCCAAGGAACTGACTTTCTTGGCAAGAGTTGGAAATGTCAGACAAAGGGGCACTGAATGGGCGTTATAAGACCGTGGAAAAACTCATGCAAATGGACTGAGTCTTGATGGACATTTCAGCTGAGTAGTTCCCTGGAACACGAGAAGAACTGCAGATGTGGGGGCTGGGGATTTAGCTCAGCGGCATAAGCACCTGCCTTGCAAGCAGGCATTCGTGAGTTCAATCCCCGGTACCGATAAAAAGTTAAATAAAAGTTTTTAAAAAGTTAAAAGAAAGAAAGAAAGAAATGCAGATGTACCAGGTATATGGCTTGAGCATTACATTCAGAGGACTTTGAAAAAAGAAACAACAGGAACCAGGGAAAAATTGTTTACCATGGCAGTGATATGGCCAGACTGCTTTTCAGGCATAATTTAGCAATCTGCATGGAAAATTATTTTGGAGAGGACATGGGGACCTGTGGTCAAAAGATCAATCAACATTCAGATGACAAATATTGAGGGCATTTCTTGATTCATAGCACAAGATCTGGAGTGAAGGAACTAGATACAGCAAGTAGATTTGGTAGTTAACTTGATACGTGTTGTGAGTAGGGGCTGCAGTGTCTTTATGGAGTCACTGAATGGTCATTGGTGTCAAAATAAGGAATACAAGGAAAAAAACAATTTTGTAGGTGAAAACAAAGTGTACATTTTGAGATATGATAAATTTTGGGTGCCTTATGATATTGCTATAATTTAAACAGATGTTCCCAAAGGTTCGTGTGTATTGATCCCCAGGGTAGTGCTGGTGGTGGTGGTGAAAGGTGCTGTTCACATCTAGGAGGTAGAGCCTTATGGGAGATTATTAGGTCACTACAGCCTTGAAGAGGACTACAGAACTCTGGTCTCTTCATCCTGATCTTTCTCCTAAATCATGCTGTAAGCAAATTGCTCTACCGTGTGCTTCTGCCACGATATACTGCTCATACCAGAAGCCTAAAGCAATGGGCTGCTGCATCTTAGATTGAGACTTCTGGAACCATGGTCAAATAAACCTTCTCTCTTTAAATGTCAGTTGTACCAGGTATTTTATTATAGCAACATGAAACTGACTAATACAGATATTAAGTGGGAGTCTGTGGTCAGCTGAAAATGTGTGTGTGTGTGTGTGTGTGTGTGTGTGTGTGTGTGTGTGTTCCTTCCTCTTAGGAAGAACAGGGGAAACTAGTACCCCAGGAAGGCCATTAAAACCAACAGTAAGAGATTAAGGATGAGAAGAGGAATAATTTGTCCAAGCAGACCCACACAAACAATTGTTTCTCTGTTTTTCTCTCTGCTCCAGCACTTTTGAAATTTTACATAGGCAACCTCTCCTCCTATTGAAAATTATGTGTTTGCAGCTTGCGCTTCATTTCTACTTTTAAAGCAACATTTTTGGATGGTAGATAAAATTTTTTTCTGAAATAGATCTTCTATTATTTTCCTTTAAGATATTAGAAACATTTTACAGCTTAAACCAAATAGATTTTCCCTGGGAACTATATCCAGAAAAGAAATGTGTGAGCCATGTAGTCAAAACCCAGCAAAGAGGCTCTGCTATTTTTAGAATGATCATGAAGATGAAATGATGAAATGCAGGGAGATATGGCTGGAGGAGCAGAGAACGGGGTGAGAGAAGGAGGGGTGTGCTGGGAGAGACTTTATGGCCTTGAGAAGAATAAAGGAGTTAGTCCCTGAGGGCAGTGGTCCCCAACTTCAATCAGTGCTTCATTACCTTCATGGTTTTCATAAGGTTCCCCATACCATCTGCCCAATTATTTACTTAACCTTTTTGTCTCTAAATCAATTCACATTTTAAACCTGAAAAGCAACTATACCAAATAGGAATATCACTTTGAGATAGGGACCTGCATCCCTTACTATAAATATTTAAGAGGATTAGTTTTAAAAGTTTCCATAAAGAAATTAAAAATTATTACATTCTGGCTAGATATTTTTGCTTGCCCAGGGCTAGGAACCTGAGACCTGTTTTCTCTTTGCAAAGAAAGGTGATATGCAAGCATTAGGAAGGATTTAAAGACATTCTGGCACTGAACACAAATTTCCCCCTCCAGGTCATCAGAAGGATTGAAATAAATCTGAAAAGAGAACAACTTTCCCACTAAGTAATTCAGTGCTATTTAATTTTGTATACCACAACTCAGCCCCTTGGGTAAATTGTCCTAGGATTAAAGCTAAAGATCAGTGAGAAAAGTGAGTGAAGACTATACAGCTTGGAAGCAGCTTAAAGATTAGAGCCTATTTCTACTCCCTTCTCTTGGAGCTCAGTTTTTAAAAAGGCAAACAAATAGAAAGTCAATGAAGTCTTTCTCACTGGTGGATGGGAGTTCCAGAAGTCCTGGAGAGCCATGCTTGGGACGTCCGCACCAGTGTTGGTGCTTTGCTCCTTGGCCAGGGAGGGAGTAGAGGGAATGAGTTGCCTAGAACCAGATGACCTCACATGTCTTGATAGGAGCAAACAGCAGAGCCATAGCCTTTGGCTGATGGGGCCTGTGGGCAATCCACTTAGAAAATCATATGTGTTGCTAACTTAGCAGAAGATCTCTAGAGAAGAAAGCCCAGTGGGCAATCCATCATGCACCCATGTGCTTTATGTACAATGACGTGCAGTGGGCCCATCCATCACTGGGGAGAGACACTGAGGCTTAACAAGGCCTCCGGTTGAACATTTCACATCACTTATTCATTAGCTTGTAAGATCTGACTTTCTAGGACATGACACAAGTTCGAAGTCACTTGAAATGTTCTTTTAAAAAATGACAACTCTCATTTTGCTGCCATTGCTATGATGTGAATGTTGTTCTGATCTCTTCGCTTTCATCAGTGTAATTGCCCATTTCTTTGCAGTTGTTTGGATTCAGGGATATGGATCCTGGCTGAGAGAACAGCCTGGCTTTGAATGGCAATGAGGGATATATGCAAACGATGGGTATTCTTTTGAAGAGAAGGTGTGTGTGAAGGTTTGCTATCTCACCCAGGGGTGCAACCTAATTTAGAACATTTGCTTGGGATGTTTGTAGTAAGTACCAAAAAAAAAAAAAAAAAAGCTAACATTTTCAGACTTGTTAGAAGGTCATAGTTTAACTAAATATTGTCACTTTTAATTCAGCTTGGAATAACAGAAAGTCACAACTAGATTGGGACCATCTAATTAAAGGCTTTCATTTTTCAAATGAAAAAACTCAGAGGCCAGAAATGACTTGTTCAAGACCAGGTCATGAAACACAAGGAAAACTGGGAGATAGCTATCTGCCTCTTTGACTTACATAAGCCAAATAAAAAAGCATTTTACAGTAATAGAAAAGACATCATCTGACTGCCTAAAGAGAGACTATCTAAAATATAAATGGAGGTTAGTTCAAACCAATTCTTCCTGCTTATGATAAATACTGTTTTGTCTTCCCTATCTGTGAAGATATTTAATAATTTTTGTCATCCTAGTGATTGCTTAGGATAGACACATGAAAAGATAATAATGGATAAGTCTGCCTACTGATAGTTTCCAGGGCTGCAAAATTTCCCTCAGCTTTCTTTTCTGAGGGGAGACTTCACACTGAGATTAAAGGCGTTTGTGTGCATGTTGTGGAGAAGAGTGAGAAAACATGGTCCTGTGGTTGCATCCTCCATCTGAGGATTTGACAGTTTTAATGAGAAGACACCCAGGACCCTGCCTAAGTATGAACACCTCCAGACTCCAGGCACATGATCCCTTATTAGGAGAAATCTCAAGGATGTTTCCAGAGAGAATGAGAAATCTCTGAAAGAAGACATAGGCAACCCAATTGGGCTGCAATTTTCTCAGCCCCTGAGCTGCCATTCTCACTGAAAAGAGGAAAGTAATGCAGAAAGCAAAACCATAAACTTTTGTCAGACAAAATTAGATGTCATCAACTGAAATGACTACTTTTGACCACTTTTCCACCGTGCCATCCAAAGCAGGCTTCCAGCTGAGAAGGCATTGATCTTTCTGGTAATAACAGTAATGACCCTTTGGATCTGTGCAGGGGTTTGCAGTTGCAAAAGGCATTCACACATATTATCTCACTGGGTCCTTGTGATAACTCTGAATAGGATTACTTTTACCACTCTACAGATAAGGAAACTTGGCCAGGTCAAGTTGACTGACATCAGAGTCAAGGGTTCAGATATAGACCTTTTGACTCTAAGCTTGGTGTTCTTCATTCTGTATATGTTTCCCATCTGTCAGTTCTAAAAATCTACTTTATCATAGCACAGTTGACTCATGTTGGAAGGAAATGGCACACATAGAAATGAACACAAAGTGCTTAGCACAGTTTTTGACATACAGTGTTTGGCACAGAAGAGCTACTATGGAGGGAGGGGCAAGGCAGTAGAGTAATTGAGGTCATGTTTGGAATTAGAAAAATCTAAATGTGAGTCCTGAGTCTGGCCACTTTACTATGCATGACCTGGACTGATGGCTTAATTTCTCTGAGGATTATAATGCACATCTCCCAATATAAGACACAAATATTGTATGCATGCAGAGCCCACAGGGTGCCTGCATTCCGAGTTTTATAACTGTACGATGGGTTACATCCAAAGGATTTTTCTCATGGACCAAACATAAAAAAAAACAAAGCAATCCATGTCTAGGAACTGAATGTTAACATTTCATAGTTAAATACCATGTGTTTTAAGTTTCAGATTTCACCTTTTCATGTCTCTTGACTTCTTACTTTTAAGAGAATTACTAGAGTGTTCAGTGGACCCTGCAGCTTGTGTGCTCTGCCAAGCAGGCCTCGGTCTCAGCCAGGTACCTGTATATGATGCACGCTGTATTCTGGCAGGTACTGCAGTTGTTGAGATCTTGGCCAGTTCGATAAAAGTTGCGCCTGTGAGATAGAACATTGGCTGAATAAATCTACAGGCAAAAGCCATATGAAACAAGTGAATTCTACCAGTCCATCCCTTAGTCCCTACAGCACAGCATTTATGATGTCCCAAAGTTGCATGACCATTACAAAGAAACTTCACAATCCAACAGGGCTTTATATACATTTAAACATTTCAAATCTGAGGGGTTTCCTGCTCACAGCATTGTGCAAGACATATTTCGTAAGTGAGCAGAGCACGGTTATTAAAATCTCTAACCCTTGGTTCAGTTCATCTCTTTCTGTATCATCACAGTGTTTTCTCTTCCAAGGTGATATAGATTCTGACTGCTAATAGCAAATGCCAGGTAGTTACTTCTGTCTGACCCTTTTGATGAGCTTTAGCTGTGGGTTCCTCTCGGTCCTTAGAGGGTGGCTCCTGGAGGAACAGGCAGTTCACACCTACACACATCACTGCCTGCTCCTCCCCACACGGTGCTGCATTACTCAGGACAGCATTTCCCTCTCTTCAGAGTTGTGATCTCATTTAAACTCCCACTGAATTTGTCAGTGATGGAGAGTTGGTCATCAAAGTGGTCAGTGGAGGAGGGGGTGGTCAGCAGGAAGTTTAATAACCAGGTCAAGGCTTTGTGAGAAACACAACAGCACTGACAAATGTATTGTGGAAATTCAGGATCTCACTAAGAAGATGGGATCCGGGGCATTCCTGCCTGCTGTTGTTTCCCTCATCCTTTTTCAATGGGACCCTCCACTCTATAAAAACTAGTTCTGATACTCAATAACTTCATTATTGCCCATCCCCAGTCTGATATCTGTAAACAAAAGCAAACAAAACAAAACAAAACCCACTTGTGATACTTAAGCTTGACTGTCAATTTGATTGGCTTGAGAGATGCAAGGAGATTAATAGAGCACGCTTCCATATGTGTCTGGGTGGGTCATATGGGTGTGACCTTAAGTCCTGTGTTTGCTCCCTGGCCCCTTTTTCTGTGGCTCTTTCCCTGCTTCCTGGCTGCCACCAGTTGAGGAGCTTCCTTTTACCATGTTCTTCCAACATAATATTTCCACCTTGGGACCAGTCAACTCTGAAAACCATGAGTCAAACATAAACATTTTATCCATTAGTTGAATATATTAGGATTTGGTCACAGCAGTGCAAAGCAGATTAGTATACCACCCAAGCCCACCAATGCTTAGAATTAAATGAAATCCAATCAAAGCAGAGGGAAAAAATGTGAGTTCTGATCTGGAGAAACAATGAACTTCAAACATTTTGGCAACATCATATTTAATGGAAACCAGTGCTCTTGTTCTCTGCCCTGGTGCTGGCAAATGACTACTTGGTAGTTTTTAACATTAAAAAAAAAAAAAATTCACCTTACCCTTCAGTGAGAGCTCGAGCTTTCTCCAAGTCTTGAATTACATTCAAAAGGACTTTAATTTTCTCTTGGTTTGAGTGCAGAGATTCTTCCACGGATTGCAGCCGGCCTTGGAGGTCACAGAGTTCACCCCGTGCCAAGTGAATCTGATTAATGCCACTAATCTCCCTGTTGCTCTGGTATTTGGTCTCACTGTTTGGTAGAGAAGGTGAGAGCTGATCACTTCCAGGACGACTCCGAAGCTCTAGAATATCTGATTGAGTGGGATTCATTGTCATCTTCTCCTGACACAAAGGGGCAGATTTTGATGCACTGCTACTTTTGAGTGTCACTGGGTTCTGGTGACCATCACTTGATGCAGGGTAGTCTGAGGCTCTTCCTGAATGAGCTGTCTGGATGTGGGAATCTGGTGCAGGGCAACTGTGAGTCCGTGGAGATAAGGGAATGCATGTTTCCTTTGACTGCGATGACAGTGGGCCAAGACCTTTGTCATTAGAATTGTCTTTGGGCAAAAGCAATTCGGGTTTGAGTTTCCCTGTGCCTGACATGTTGTTGGCACCGCTGGTGGCATTTAAGCAGGAGGGGGATGATTCTAAATCTGACCTCAGTATCTTTTTCCTATCACCTGGACACATGTCAACCAAAGGGGGTCCTGAGTTGTTTATTTGAGCCAGCCTGTCTGGGCTGACAGTGGACTCCCTAGTTTCCCAGGAAGGACTGTGATAGATGTCTTCTGGGACCTGAATGGCAGCTGTTGCTTTCTCTGAGCCCCTCCAAGTCCCAGCGTCTAAGCATATGCTAACAGGCCCATTGCTTTGCAACTTGGGCAACTGAGGCAGAAACGGGTGGGACACTTTGATCCTTCGAGGGCCATCCACAAGATGCTGAGCCAGCCGTAAATAGGCAAGGTCAGAAGACATTAGGTCTTGTTCAGAGAAGTTGCCGTTGACCTGGATGGCACTTTGGGGTGCTGTCGGCATTTCCACGAGGGACTTGCTGGATGTGAGTTTCTTCCTTCTCAAAACTGGGAAATGCTTCCTGAGACTGGGGGAGGTTTGGATTGCGATGTTCCGAAAGCCCCCTGCCTTCTGGGCCCGGGGAAAGGAGAGAGAGTAGGTGGGGGGGTGATGGTGCCTAGATGCTTGTGTCTTCCCCATCTCAGCTGGGTCTTCAGGAGTGTGGGCATCAACCTCGGCTACGCCAGTTTGATTCTTAGTGGTCCCATCTTCCTTGAATCGCACTTGCTGGGATTTGCTCCTGCGGTGGTGGGGTTGTTGCACAAGCTCCACAGACTCGAGGCTGTTCCGCTTTAGGAGCACAGGTCTCACTTTCATACTTTGCTGGGCCATTGAGCCTCAGTGGAAAGGAAGAGAACCATACACTTCTCTAGGGCACATCTCCCTTAGGTCTTTGGAGTAGCGTCTATTGAAGGCATCTCAGACCAGGAGAACTGCCAGCCAGCTTGGAGTGGTCCACTCCTCTTAGTATAAGATGCCCTGACAGCCATTCCCAGCCTATAAATTCCACTTGGGAGCCCTCTCAAATATTTTCCTTGCAGTTAAAATATTATTCCACTGCAGTAATAATTGCCACTTAGATAAACAGTGCGTTAGGGTAACTTTTAAACATCTGATATCTACCAAGAGGGCTGGTGGGATGTTTATCAGGGCAGGTTAGAGGAGGCAGGTCTGATTCCAGAAAAAATTTGCTGTCTTGAAGAAAAAGACAAAGTTCTATTTGTGGAACAGTGCCACACTCCCAAAGTGTATATTCCGGAAGAATTCTTGGGTCTAGAACATACCCCTTCGTTTCCCAGAGCAGCAATTTCTAATGTAAAACTATGGGAGTCAAAGACATCTTCTTTCTGTAGCATGTAGATAGGTGAAAAAATAAATGACCTTGGAGTTTGCTTCTGTGATGATACATGATGCTCCTAAGGGAACATCCTCATTTATGTCCATCACAAAGTCTTCCTTCGGGGCCATTATTTCCTTTCATGCTATTCCCCTATTCTTCCGTGAGGGAAACTTGTCTTGTTTAATAGCCTCACAAAACCCAGTAGGGAATGGCCAGGATGGTACTGAGGCATCAGAGAAATTCAGAGGGCAGAGTTCCTTGACCTGGTATCTTGGGTGAAGCTCACATGTGAGCCAAAGAGAGCCATGTCTGCCACTTCTGGGATGTGGAACGAAGAACAGTGTTCACTTGGTCCGTGGTGAAGCATCTGAGATGGAGCAGTCTTTGCAAGCAGCAAGGAAAGGCTCGCTGAAAAGCAAGAGATCACAGTCAACAAATTCCAACCTCCTAGCTGAGTATTCTGAGTTGGAAGGCTTGGGAATAAGTCAGCCATACTGCCCTTCTCTGTGTACTCCTAGCGGGTAGCCACCTGTAGGTAATGGGTTCTGAAGCAAAATTCCTGCCTGGGTCCTTTCCTCCTCCCCCTCCCAGTCATTATCCAGTCAACTCTTAGTCACCTGTAAGGCCTGGTTTTAAATGTCACTTCCTCTAGGAAACTTTCAGTAATTCTGTCCTCACCCATATCACCAGAGCTGCAGAACATTGCATTCTTATCACATCCTCTCAGACATAAATTGCACCTGTTCTTAAATAATCACTTGAATATGTATTTAAAATGTATATTGCCCCACTCCACTGTAAACTCCAGGAGCAGGGGCTGGAGCCAGCCCAGTCACTGCTTAGGTATCCCTAGTCTACCTTGTCTGGTTATTATAGGTTCTCAGTGGGCATTTGTTGAAGACGGAAGGGCAGGGTGAAAGCCAGATTCTCTGAAAGAAGAGGATCCAAGCATGGATGTCCTGCAAGGGCAAGAGGACCAGGGCTTTTCTCTAATATGACTGCAACATTTACTTAAGGACAAGATTTTCCCCTAACATCTTCATTTTTATTGCTTTCCAAGAGATAAATGTGCATGAAATCCTCTGAGGAACGTGTACCTTGTAACAATAACAACCACCATTTATCGAACACTTATTTTTACCATGCTGAGGGCTTTACACACATTAATCATAACAGCTCGCATTTTCTGGGTACTCACTAATGTGACAGGTGCTGTTCTAAGCACTTCCTAGGCCTTAACTCGTTCATCACAAAATTCCTCTGAAGACATGGATCTGTCATTGTCTTATTTTACAGTTGAAGAAGCTGAGGCCCAGAAGGTTAAGTAATGTGCCCAAAGAATCCCAGCTAGTGATGGAGCTAAAGCTGAACCTACACAGTCTGACCCCAGAGCCTGTCCTCTCAACCCTACCACCCCAAAGGCTTTGCAGTATTGCATCACCTCATTTAACCCTTACAACAAACCTTTGAGGTGTCACTATCTTCCTTGGGCTGATGAGGAACACAGGCACAGGGAGGTTCAGAGAACTCTGGAATTGGGACCTAGGAGATTCTGTCTCTGCCCTCTTTGGACTCTGTCAGGTACATGGACAAATAATATCAGTGATGTGAAAACCAAGTTTAAATGTTTCTTTCAATCTGAGAGAAGCCTTGCAATAGCAAAACATAGCAAAGAGTCTGCTATAAGTTGGAGGGATCTGGGATGGGGTGAGTTCAAACCTTCCTGGTTGATCAAGAGACTTAAAATGAAGGATTAATGCTCCATACGTGTTTTGGATCATTAAGAGAGCAGCTTGTCTGCAGCACGCAGCATGCAGCCTTAACATGCAGATCAAGACCTCTGCGTTCTTGAAGCAAGAACCCTTTGCCTCCAGTTCAGGGGCTGTTGATTGCATTTTCTGCTCTGCTTTTCGTGGGCCTTTGAGTTGGGTGCCACCACGGAATTGAATTTCCTCCCAAGCTGCATTTAGGGGGTTCAGTTGACTTCGTAGGGTTGAGAGACTATAACCAGCCCTGACAGGGACTCAGATTCATCTAAAGTGCATATGAGTTGTCATCTTATCATCAGCCCTTGCGACTACCTTCCATTTTCTAAGTGTGCTTAGATCGGGCTTCAGACCCCGTCCAGACTGGTTGAAGAACTTTGTGTTTTTCATCTTTAAAAAGGTAATGTGAATAGTATGGACCCAAACTCCTGGGTCTGATCAGATGTCAGTAAGAAAATGTCTGCAATGGTCTTAGCCCACAGCCCAGTGGGCAGTGAGCCACAGTGTACATTTCCCAGTGTTGCTGTTGTGACTGCCCCACAGCCAAATGGTGTGTGGCTGTTGTGATTTATGGGGAGAGGGAACATAGCTTTCTGCAATGTGCTTGGGCTTCTGTTACCCAAGTGTGGCTGAACAAGAGCAGCTAGAGCTACCCCTAAGATACAGAATACGCAGAGTTTGGGGGAGCTACCTCACTTGCCTCTCCTGTTTGGAATGCAGAGGTAACTTCTGAGAGAATTATCACCTAACTTTGCAGGGAAATGACCCTGCAACAGCTGGAAGCCCCAGTCACTTGGCACAATAATCCCAAACAAACCCACTTTTAAAAACTGTTCCCATGTTGCAATGACTTCACTTAGGATTTTCAGGTGTAGAAGAATCCAGTCGTCCACCCCTTCATTTCATAATTCAGTCCTGTCTCTCTGTGCCTCCTCCTAAGGTAATAATTAAGCCTGTCTGAATCCTTGCAGGGACAGGGAGCACACTACTTGTCCCACAGTCAAATAATTAGTACTTTTATTAATAGTGGCACATATGTATTAAAAACTGTTGCCAAGCACTCTACTGGTACTTGACATTTAATCCTCAAAATGTCTTGCTGTCTATGGTGACCGTTGTGCAGAGTGAGGTATTGAGATCTGAGTATCATACTTTTCACTGCAGAGCTTAGATATTTGTATGTTTGCTTTTTATGGATTTCTTTGCCTAATTATCCTTGCCTTTTTCTTCTCTTTAACTGTTCATTAGTGCTTCATTTCAGAAATGTTAACTCACACAAGCTACGGTTGTCTGAAGCTGGTTTTCATAAGCACCAGTTACACTGAATATTGATGATGTTCCAGGCATTGTGATAGGAGCTTTTCATTTGCTTTTTAATCCTGGTGACACTCTTAGAGGCAGATGCTGTCAGTTCCCCCAATTTATAAATGAGGAAACTCAGGTGCAGAAGTAGGGTAAGTAATTTGCCCCAAGTTACTCGCCTGACAAATGATAGCACTGACATTTGAATCTGAAGTCTGATCTTGGAACAAGGTTCTTAATGCTGGGTCTTTTTGCCTTTCCCCATCTGGAAAGGAGTAATCGGCCTAATCAAGGTCACAGCAGATTTCCAGCTCCCTCCCCATTTCCCTTCTGAACGCAGCTGTTCCTCTGATTTTAACCCTTTTCCCCAGAAATTATGTATACATATTAGATCTTTACTTTTGCTCTTTACAAACTGTTGGTTTCATAAAGATACTCTATATTCATTGTAAAAATTCAAATAATACAGATTTTTTTTAAAGAAAGAAAAAAGTTGCCTGAAACCTCACTACCTAGCAAGAGCCAGTCTGTACCAATAATTTGGTGAAGTTCATTCTCAGGATTTCACTGGGCATTGCTTGCACACGCATTGCATGTATGGGTAGATTTATAGACAGAAGTATTTTTGTCACCGGACAACTTTAAGGAAATTTCTCATGATGGAGTATAGATTTTTGTTATCTTTGAGATAGGCTAACAGGACTCTGTTGTCTAGTTATACCATGATCTATTCAAATAATTTTTTTTCTGTGTGTGGTTGTCTTAGGTTGTTTTCAAAATTAAGAATTATTAAACATGCCATAAATTTTTGTATTATGTGAACCATGGAGCACTTCTCAAATTATTTCTTTGGAATACACTGCTAAAAGAAGAATTAGTGGGTCAAAATAGCCATACATTTTATATTTTGTTGATATTATCACTTTACTAGTTTGCCTTCGAGAAAGTTCTACTGATCTGCAACTTATTGCTTTGTAGTAAGGCCTTCGTACCAGCACCTCTGACACTGCGTTTGATTGGTCTATTATGAAGTGTTGTCATAATTGGGCATTTTTTCATATTTATTGGCTTCATACTCCATTTGGTATGAGCAGAGTGAAAAGTTGAAAATGAAAATTTGAATAATCCAGCTAACGTAGAAATTCTTGTGTCCTACACAGAGCTAAAGGAATTTAGGGAATAAACAAATTTTAATTTAAATAGATATTGATGTTCTGAGTCTTCCACTGCCAGTGCCCCCCATGACCTGCACAGACCTGTCCTGAGGAGTGGACCTAGCTAGAAGGGGTAACCCTCAGGGTGCCCTTAAGTCTCATAGGCTCCCAGCTGTCTACTAATTGCTAAGGGGTTCTCTGGGCCTTGGTGGTTAGGGCTTAATTAATATCTTGGCCAGAGTCCAGAATCACTCCCCAGAGTGGTCACAGAAGTCCGCTGAGGGCCTAGAGGCTGGGAATTAGTGTTGATCTTTGCAACACTTTGTTCTGTCCTCCCTTGATTATTGGCTTATTGACCACAAACCAACTGTTTACATGCCAACTCTGCCTTTGAAATTAGCTCACTTTTTGTAGATCACAAAATTTAGACTTTCTCTGGATTGTGCTCTCAGTTCTTTTTTCTCATGTATACTTAAGCAGTGCATTGATGGATTAAGGGAATCATTTTTAGTTGCTGAGTACCTGCAGCAGAGTCTTCCACTTTCTGATTATTGACCTGGAACAAATGACGTGGCCTTCCTGAAACCACACAGTTGTTCTGGGAGAACTGAACAAGAGAATCAGAAATGGTCACCACAGTCAGTCTTGGTTCATCAAAGAGAACCCTATGGACACATGAGACACTTACTTGTCAGCGGATCTTTGCCATCCAATGGCTCCTGGTTGAAATGCTTGTCTTGTTATTGTTGTTGCCATTGGATCCTGCCATCCAATGGCTCCATAGATTTGCTTATGGGAGGGAATGTACAAGGTTGGCATTCCCAGGAATCCTTTTTCCTGCTGTTCCCTGTCACTTCCACATTTTCATATTTAGCATCGTCTTTCCTTAAACTGTGATTACCTGTAGGCTCCCAGCCTCTTCAGCTAGACTTTAAGCTTCTTGAGAGCAGGACAAGATGACAGTCTGCTCTCTGCCTCCAGTTTGATACAGAACACATGTTATGTGGATTCTTAGAGAATAAATGAATATGAGTCTGTCCTGTCTGATGTGCATTAGCTTTTATAATGTGAAACAATTTGGTTTACATTTTAAATTTCTTTATGTTGAAAGATAGTGCCTTACTATGCTACCAAGGCTGACCTTGACCTCCTGAGCTCAAACAGTCCTCTTGCCTCCATTGCCCAA